AATGAAGGGGGGGAAATCGGAGGGGGAGACGAACCATGAGAGATGATGGACTCTGGAAAACAAACTGAGGTTTCTAGAGGGGAGGGGGTGGGGGGATGGGTTAGCCCGGTGATGGATATTAAGGAGGGCATGTATTGAACGGAGCACTGGGTGTTATACACAAACAGTGAATCATGGAACACTACATCAAAAACTAATGATGCGATGTATGGTGATTAACATAACATAATAAAATAAAATAAAATAAAGTAAAATAAAATAAAAGAAATGTCTTCCATCTCAGGTCTCCTATGCACTAGCTGGGGGACCTGAGCCCCTCTGAGCCTCGGTCTTCTCAACAAACAAATGCTAATCCCTCAGCAGCAGAGTGCTGGGCACTTAGAATGCACTCAGTAACAGGTATCACGGAGTCAAGGAGGCAGGTAAAGACAGGTGATGCAGGTGAAGGGATTCCTCTGGGAAAGAAAGGGATGAACCAAAACACAGCCACTTAACTCTATAGCACTGCAGGTGATCTCGTTCAGGGTCAGCAAAGTGGGGGTAAAATTTACGGGGTAGGAGCCCCCCTCCCCGGGAATGCAGACATACCTGAGAGCCCCAAAGGGCTATGGGAAGCAGAGGTGGGAGATTGGGAGTTTCCGGGTCCTGTGGATGCTCAAACTCACTGACATTTCTTTCTGAGCTGCTGTCTTCTTCAGTCTCTTGTAGGCTCTGGGGAATGAACACATCAGTTCCCAGGCCAGGACAGCCCTCCGAGCTCTGGCGAGTCATTCTGGCCGCGTCCCCCTCTTTGGGGCTCAGGGCAGGCTGTGTGGAGCTAGGGCTGGTCCTTCACTGTGAGGCGTCTGGATATCCTTGGGAAATTTCAAGGGAGTTTTGCGAAAATGTGGAACGATGCCATTGGATTCCTCGGGAAGATAAATAAGCCTGAGGAATTATTAAGGAGGTGAAAGATATCAGGGCTTAGCTAAAGGAGTCCCACATCTCTGTGACTATTTCAAACAATCTGGAACTATTTTGGTGCTATGTGAAAAGCAAGCAGGGAGCTAGGATTATGCTCACCTAGGACGGCTTTTGGTCAAGAGAGGGCTGCCTTTCTGAGCTGGATCCAGACTCCGACATCTCTCCTCACAGCTCAGCAGCTATTTTTAACATTGTGAAACCCAATATGTTAGTGGGGAGGGCAGGAGGAAGCAGGGCCAGAGGTGAGGTGGCCGAGGCTGTCCAGGCCCCCGAGGGAGGCGAAACCACTCTGTGTCTCTTAGCTGACACCCCCACATTTCTCCATTGATCCCTGAAAATAAATACCTGGCCTGGTGTTCAGGGCTGACGGAGGGGGCCACAGGCCAGAAGAGAATTTAATAATTCACTCTGTCTCTCGTTTGAACTCTTTCTTTGGTATAATAGATGCTGTGTCTGGCAGCTGAGAGAGAACGCATAGCTCCGTGGTAAAAAACAAAACAAAACACTAAACTAAAAACAAAACCCAAACACTCGGTATGTCCTGTCGACAAGGGTTTGAAAATGTCCATTCAAATGTGCGTCTTTTAGTCTGTGCATCGGCCCTGAGTGATCCGGCATCCTCTCTAGTTGGGAACACCCCGTGAGCTCCCCGGTTTCTAGTCTCTCGTTCTTGAGGCTGTGGTTTCCAGTGGGGACTGCCTCTGACCTAAGCAGCCGCCGTATTAGAAGCCCAGTGGCGGCCGGACCCACAGTCCCACGGACCAGAGTCATGTGCAGTCGTTTTTCTGTTCGTGCTGAAGAGTAGCACAATCTGCGCTCACCTCTCCCACCCCAGATATGTCCCTTGGCAGAGGGATTATTTTAAGCTGAAGGTAACTGAGAAGAAGCAGAGCTTTTCTTAAAGCTCTCTGCCCTCCCCCCATTTGCCTAAAAGCAGGACAAACATTTGCAAAGGTGTCCCTCCTCCCCTGTCCGCCAGGAAGGACAGAAGTTAATCAGCGGAGACAATACCTGACCCTCATCAGCCCAGAGAAGCACCAGAGGAATTCTCATAACAAACTTTACTAATTAGCCCTTCCCTTCCAATCCTTCCCCCTTTATGTCTGTCTTCCTACAATTTGCCACCCTAGAGATTCAAGGTCCTTTTCCTTTGTCTTGTCACTTCTCTAGAAATGTATTGCTTGGGGCGCCCGGCGGGGGGAGGGGTGGGGGCTCAGTCGGTTAAGCATCTGCCTTCAGCTCAGGTCATGATCCCAGGGTCCTGTTATCCTGTTATCGAGCCCCACATCGGGCTCCCTGCTCAGCCGGGAGTCTACTTCTCCCTCTCCCTCTGCCCCTCCCCTGCTCATGTTTGTGCTCTTGCTCTCTCTCTCTCTCAAATGAATAATAAAAAATCTTTAAAAAAAATGTATTGCTCCTTTGCTAAGGTGCTATGTAATCCTAAATGCTAAGCACCCCGTGAGTTACTCCTGACCAAGTGCCCCTGTGTTCCCTGACCATAAATCTGTTAATGCACTTCTGTTGGTGTTTCTCTGTCTTTTGTGAGTCTAATTCACAGGACACCAGGCAGAGAACCTGAGATGGGTAGAGGAAGAGATTTTTTGTCCCCTACCGTGCTATTTGGAAAACATAACATGAATGACAGTAATAATAATGATAAGAGCAAGCGCACGCGTGCACACACACACGTCCCTTTACAAAGGAGGCAGTTGGAAAGTGACCTGCAGAGTTGCTGAATCTCTTACCAGCATGGCATTCAGCAATTTATTAAGCAGGGCCATTGATGAGGGGCCTCATTTCTGGAAATCTTTATTAGAATCCAGTGCCAGCAAGAGATTGGGAAAAACGCATTTATTTGTAGAGTAAGTGTGCAGATGCCAGATATGACTATACTATTTTACTAGTTATTTTGCCACAGACAGAGGAGGCTCAAGGTTGGAAGAAAAAAGTTCTGTGGATCGAGATATCTAGCCTATAAGGGCATTTAAAGCCAAGCTTCTTCGCTGTCCAAGAGAAAGCCATCTGTGTGACCCAGAAGAACTTCTGATTGTAGGTGAACTTTCAGAATGCCAGGGGGAAGCCTGAATTAGATTAGGTACTGACAGGTGATAGTTGAAAATGAGTGAATTAAATACCTAACTGTACCTACGTTTTCTCATTTTCTTTCGTTCTTTCTTTCTTTCTTTCTTTCCGAGGCAGAGAAGGGCAGCAGGAAGGAGAGAGAGAGAATCTTAAGCAGGCCACAGACCCAGCGTGGAACCCAACATGGGGCTCGATCCCACAACCCTGAGATCATGACCTGAGCCAAAATCAAGAGTCAGACGCTTAACTGACTGAGCCACCTAGGCACCCCTTGTTCTCATTTTCTTAATCTTACCCTAAAATTTATAAATTGTAAAGATAAATATAGATATTAGAATGGGATAATTTAAAGCTTTTTTTGGTCAATATTTTTCAGGCTTAGTCAAGGCAAAAGGAGGGCCCAGGCCTGGCCATTCAGAGCCCTCTGTCCGGCCCAGAGCATCCTGGAGGGTACCAGGAAGGTGCTGCTATGGCTCATGGAGCTGCCGCTCCCACCCATGGGAGTGGGACCCAGAACGGGCGCTGATTCTAAGCAGCTGACCCATCAGATCCTGGGTCAAGGCTGACCCAGGGCTAGTTGGTGGTGGCAGAATTGAGGGCCCAGCGTGGGAGAAGCCGTGGCTCACTGAAAAGTGAGCAGAGAGAGCAGCCTTGTCAGAGGCCTGGATGTGGGGCTGTAGAGAGGGGACCCGGGGCTTCCCTTCCCCTGCCTCCCTTCTTCCTGCCTTCAAAGACCCTCTCCTTGCTTGGTGAGCCTCCCCTTGCATAGTTCCAACTTCAGGGCTGCTCCAAGGCAGGTACATGGTGACAAGAGAGACAGGCAGGTATATGGTGACAGGGAGGAGATGGGTGATGACGAAGCAGAAGGCAAGCTGAGGACGAAGCACAAGCTGACACCCCTCACCTCGCCCCTCCCGCCCCACCCAGTGGGACATGCGTGGCATTCCTCAGGCACTCCTGGCTGCTCTAAGACTAAGGGGAGGAAGGGAAAAACGAATGGTTAACTGATAGAGATCACAGTCCTGCAGGACGTGAGTGTTCCAATGACTTAGTGATTTACAAGAAAAAGCATTCTTATCAAAATAGCCTAACATTCAGAGACCCATAACTCAATTTCCTGGAGCCCTAACATCACCTCCCCTTCCATGAGTGTTGTGGGAAACAGAGGCAGAAGGAAATGTAAACAAAGTTAAGTTTCTTTATGACCTTCAGCCTATTGAGGAGGACTTGTAATAGAGTATAACATTCCTCCAGGAAGCTCCCAACTGTCTTCATGTTAATGCTTGGCTAGAAGGAAAAACAACCTTAGCTTGACAATTGCCAGGCCTCCAGTATCCTGAGAGTCTTCTTTAGCGGATGAAAGTCCTTTTGGATACCTCCCTTTTTCCTTACCTCCCCCAGCTCCCAAGTTTATAATCAGCCACTCCTCACAACCCCCGTGCAGTAGCTTTTTCTGCCCATGGGTCCTGTCCCCTTGCTTTAATAAAATCTCCTGTTTGCACCAAAGACGTCTCAAGAATTCTTTCTTGGCCATTGGCCCAGGACCTCATCTACATTCCAAAACGTCATACGGAACCCTCTCCTCACAGTGCCCTCCACTCCCGTGCTCCAGGTCTGGAAGGCTCCAGCCTCATCCACCCCAGTCCACACCTGCTTCTCATTTCAGGACTCTGCTCCAGCTCCTGGGAGGAAATACCGAAAACAGCTCTCCTTCCAGGAGAGAGGAAGATGAAGCCAATTTGACCACATCTCCCTAGTCTCCCCGCTCTGCGTCTGTGTCTCCAGGAGCCCAGACCTTAGGAGCTATAATTCTCGCATGCAAATTTGCTGCAGGGGTCTGTGGGTTAAGGAGCGGCCGTGGGTTAAGGAGTGGTTAAGACATCAGTCTGCTTTTCGGAGGGCCATTTTGGTCAGAACACTTTGATTAGAAGCAGTTGTGGAGAGGGGGTGAAATTAAGATAGGAGGGCCCTACCTCTTAAACTTCTCCGGAAACAAGTCAGAAAGTGGTGATTATAGTTAATAATGTTGTATTGTGTACTTGAAATTTGCTAAGAGAGTAAATCCTCTCTCATTGCCCATGCGTGCCAGGTATGGGTGTGCGCGCCCGCACGCACACACACACACACACACACACGTAACTATGTGGGGTGATTGATGTGTTAATTAATTTGATTGTGGTAATTGGTTTACAGTGTGTATCACATCATCACTTTGTACACCCCGGGATCATGACCTGAGCTAAAGGCAGAGGCTTAACCCACTGAGCCGCCCAGGCGCCCCGCTGTACACCCTTTTTTTTTTTAAATTTAAGGGGAAAGTAGTTTTATTTATTTTTTTTAAAGATTTTATTTATTTATTTATTTGAGAGAGAGAATGAGAGAGAGAGCACATGAGAGGAGGGAGTGTCAGAGGGAGAAGCAGACTCCCTGCTGAGCAGGGAGCCCGATGCAGGACTCGATCCCGGGACTCCAGGACCATGACCTGAGCCGAAGGCAGTCGCTTAACCAACTGAGCCACCCAGGCGCCCCCCGCTGTACACCTTTTAATAATAACCTAAATATATACAATTTTTATTTGTCAATCACATCTCAATGAAGCTGGAAAAAAAAGAAACGAGTCAGAAGGTGATTGGGCAGTGTCCCTAGTGTCACAGTGGCTGGAACTGCCAGCCTCTGTGGTGGCTTCTACTTGAGTCCTGGAGCCCCTCCCTGCAGACCCTCAGGGG